TGGATCCATAGGGAAAGTATGTGGGCCCAATTAATTAAGTGAAGGACCCTGAGCCCTAGCGCGTATGTATGGGTAGATGGGCTACATCACAACAAAGACAATATCTTCCTGGAGAAAATGTGACGATAATAACTCTGTTTAAATAAATACGGTCCTAATACAAGAGCATATATTTGGTTATGGACATTGGGACATCCCCCTACCAATACTGTGGGAGTTCGGTGCGTTTTCATTAGATGCGGGTTCTGGCCGATTTAGTCCGTATCAATGTTGGAACCAAACCTACATTCTAATTTTGAACATTTAATAATGTCATATTTAGAAATTAATCGAAAGGGAACGTGAATACTCCCTGAAAAATGACAGCGTATCAAATATGACATAATAAGTAATATTACATACTAGTAGCCTAATGATATACTATAAATTGAACGAAAATAGAACAATTCAAATAGAGAACGTTACCATGAGTGAAATATGAAACAACAGAAGAAAGGAAAAAGAAATAATATAATGAACTATTAAAATTTGGCTACTTACGAAATCAGACACAGCCAGTAGAGTTTTTTCATCCTTTCCAAGCGCCATTGTCTCTGCAGAACTGGGATCCATGATGAACGCATTTTGACTGCTTGGTTCGACTAATTTAAAGTCGCTTTTCCTGGAGTCTGCTGTCATATACACCTCGTAGTTGTGCATATGCTGTAAAGTCCCTGTACCTCCGGCGTCTGAGTAAAGTGTTGGATAATACGGTATAACTGGGAGATTGGACTGATAAAAGATGCGTGATTGTCTCCATCTATAAATTTTTACTGATAGAATCACTACTAATGACAAAATAAAGAGGAAGGACACTACAGCCAGTGCCAGAACTAAATAAAAAGTCAGGTTGTCATTGTAATTCTTGTCGTGAGTATTGTCACTGAATTCCGAGAGTACTTCAGGGAAGCTGTCCGCCACCATCACATTAACGTTGACTGTAGCTGAGCGAAACGGCTGTCCGTTGTCCTCCACAATAACAGTAAGCCTTTGTTTCATGGCGTCTTTATCACCGACCGGGCGTATAGTTCTGATTTCCCCGGTTTGTGAGCCCACTTCAAACAGCGCCCTGTCTGTCGCTTTCTGCAGTTTATAAGAAAGCCAGGCATTCTGTCCAGAGTCCACATCGACGGCCACCACTTTAGTGACAAGATAGCCCACATCAGCTGAACGAGGCACCATCTCAGCCACTGAGGAGCCACCAGTCTGTACTGGGTAGAGGATCTGAGGCGCGTTGTCATTCTGGTCCTGGATGATAATGCGAACTGTAGCATTTCCGCTTAATGGAGGTGAGCCCGCATCTTGAGCTCTCACTTTAATTTGAAATTCTTTAAGTTTCTCATAATCGAAAGAATACACAGCGTGGATTACCCCGCTTTCGGCATTTACTGACACGAGAGAAGAGGCGGGCACACCGTTGACCTCCGAGTCCTCCAGCAGGTAGGAGACGCGCGCGTTCTGGCAGCAGTCGGCATCATTCGCTTTTACAGTAAAAATGGAAACACCGGGTGTGTTGTTTTCTATCAAACGAACATCATAGGATGGTCGTTCAAAAACCGGTGCATTATCATTAACATCGGACACTCTAATATGTAATGTCTTGTTACTTGAGAGAGGAGGTGACCCTTCGTCTGTAGCTGTTATTGTAACGTTAAACTCTGAATCTGTTTCTCTATTTAGCATTTTAATTGTTTGAACGGTGAAGTAATTCTTTATTGACCATTTAATTGCAAAAGGAGAATCTCCAGATATAATGCAATTCACCTGACCATTTTCTCCCGAGTCTAAATCTTTAACGTTAATAACTGCAATTGTAGTTCCAGGTAAAGCGTCTTCAGAAACCGGATTAGTGAATGATGTTAACGTTATAATAGGAATGTTATCATTTACATCAGTGATATCAATAATAACAGCACAAGAATCTGTAAACCCACCGTGATCTCTAGCGTCAACATTTATCTCGTATCGCTTATCTTTTTCAAAATCGATTCTTCCTCTTACATAAATATTGCCCGATTTTTCGTCAATTTCAAACACACCGCTATCTGTTTCAGACATATGTCTAAAAGAGTATGTCACTTCACCATTAACCCCTTTATCCGAATCACTTGCACTAACTGTTGTCACAAGTGTCCCCTTGGATGCGTTTTCCAGGACAGTGGCTCTGTAGAGCATCTTGGTAAAAATTGGAGCGTTATCATTCGCGTCCAAAACCTTTACATTTATTTTCACCGCACCGGACCTCGGTGGGTGACCTCCGTCTATAGCAGTTAATGTTAGAGACAAGTCCTCCTGTTTCTCTCTGTCGACAGGGGACTGTAGCATCATCTCAATATATTTACTACCATCAGAACGGGTCTCCTGTTTTAATACGAAGTTATCAGTCGGTTTCAGACTGTAGCTCTGTATGGTATTAATACCGACATCGGGATCATAAGCGCTGTCCAGCATAAACCGCGCACCGGGCAGCGCCGATTCACTCATCTCAATGTTTATTTCTTCATTTGGGAATTTTGGAGAATGATCATTCACATCCATTATTTCAACT